AAAAGGCGGGATATAAGAAATAAATTATTATTATTATTATTATATTATTCCTATGAGGCTGAGAGAGTGTGACTTCCCCAAATTCACCCAGTAGTTTTCCATGGCCGAGTGAGGATTTGAACCCTGGTCTCCAGAATCATAGTCTAACGCTCAAACTATTACACTACACTGCCTTTCAATACCAGCATAACACAAACACATATTTGTAAGAAAAATCATATTGCATGAATTCATTTCTCAACATATAGATGCCTTCTTCCAAATCATTGTGCAAAACATGATCCCTGTAAAATAGATTACCTCTTGCAAATCATTATGCAAAGCATGATCCCTGTGTAATACCAAGTCTATTTAAAGTGATAAAGCATAATTCTGGCATATATCTGGTTCATCAACCAGAATTGATGAGATACTACTTTTCCTTTTCTCTGTCTCCAATAGCTATAAGGGCTCCCATATTTCAGTACCTGGCCCCTATTCTCTGGGCCTGAGGGTAAGGTCAGTAATTTCATGGCAGGACTGATGCCCTATGTACTGTTAACTGTGCTGTTAATCTCAGTGCTACAATCAGTTTCTAGTCAGCATACCATCTGAATCCTCCAATTTACCTTCCAATTCCTTATCCTGGGCTTTGTCATCCCAGTTCTGAAAACAGATTCTGAAGGATTAAAACGTTCCATCCTGATGCATGAGGGTTGAAGCAATGCACTGACAATACTCAAAGTTTTGATTAAAATTCTCAGATATTCTGATATTCACTCTGTATGACTAATTTAAATCCCAGTAAAAAGCCTGCAAATTGGTTCTTACTCTGAATTCATCTGCAAATATTGCTTCATCAGCTAATATTGCTTTTTGTCAAGCACTCTAATAATATTTTGGCTATAATAACTATCTTAGAGACTAATAGTGATTTCCTTATAATCTTTGGCTTGTAATCAAATCAGCCAGCTAATTTTGTAGTTGTCAGAGCTCAAAGCAGCTCATGAAACACGATAAAAGCATTCCCCATTCCTCTGTATATTGCCACAGCCTTGACAGCCAAAATTAATTATCATGGCTATCTGAAAAAAATTAAGACATCTCAGAAAAAATGCCAATCATAATGAAAAGTTTAGCTTGCTAAAGTCTACTTTGTCAGCTGGGATGTAAATGTGGTTGTGACAGCCATCATTAAACTCAAGGGAGTGTTTCTCAGTGCTTCTGTTGGCAGCCAAAGATATGCAACATATGTACCCATTGTTACCATGTTGTTTTTGTCAACTCTCACAATGATAACAGTAGGGAATTGCCATGTTTAGATGGGGACCAGAGAATGGAGTCTCTGAAGATATTTAACCATGGGGGACATTTATTTGCCATCTACAAACCATGAAGAATCAGTATGGAGCTACTCCATATGCTGCTCTCGTAAGTGACATACATGTCACTCTTTTCATATTAACTTGCATGTTTGTCAAGGCCTGAATGTGATTCTTATGGACCTTTTTCACTTTGAATGTTTAACAAAAACTCCCTCCCCATTCCTGATTTGTAAGAGAGTGTCCCGATTAATGCTCTGTTGCCACCCTTTAAAGGAGATTATCACACGGGGGAAAGAAACGCAAGAGAAGTGCTACACTCCTGTCATGTTTGTGTGATCGCAGAAAGATTTTCACATGACGTCATGCACATACAGTACATATCATGTCATGGAAGCATCATGCTAGTGCAACTTCTTATTAAGAACAAAAAAGTGTTAATGGCTTGCCAATAACACTTCATTAGTGCTATCGTAAACATATGAAAAGCAATCACATTTCAATAGCACTGTTGAGAATCCATCATTAAACCTTCCAGAAATAAATTGACTCCCCCAGTCTCCCAGTGTGCCGTTTGGCAGAATCACTTCCTGTATCATGCTTGTGAATCACAGGAAAGTTCCTCAGCAGCGAGAGATGAACCATTTTTTTCTTTCTGATCACAACCCCTTCCGCCAACGTGCAGAATGTAAAAATGCTATTTTACTGCTCATGAATCATTAATGCCCCGTTATTGCAACACATGTGAAAGTAAGTGTTTCAATATCACCATTGTATCGTTCTTTCTATATAACATTAGAATAGCATATTAAAGAATAAATGGCCCTCATGTGATAATCCCCAAAATCATTTTTTATTAAACAGAAACACAACCACACACACAAGTTATACAAATATAGAAAACAACAGGAAAACTACGAACCCAACTAAATGACAGAACAAAAGCAAACAATACTTACTCTACAGACTTCCCACCCCCCAACCGATGAATATATTCCACTCTTACTACATTTACTTTATACGGTAATACAGTTATGCTTCTATGACATATAAATTCTGTTTATTTTACAAAATCTAAAACTAAAGTATCCCTCTGAAACTATACATTTTTGGAGACTATCAAAAAGTACCGTTGGCCCTCGGTGTCAGAGGACTTGCCATCTGTGGATTCAAACATCAGTGGATGGCAAGACTGCTTTGTCACCAATGGTGGCCCATGCATACAACTGCACCACCGTTAGGAATGAGTCCCATTGTCCCTAATGGTGGTGCAGCTGTGTGCATATGCTACCGCTGGGGACAATGGGGGCTTTCCCTAATGGCAGTGTGGCCATGTGCATGTGCCACCATTGGGGACAACGGAACTTGAGCATCCATGGATTTTGTTATTCATGGAGGTGTTCAGAATGGATCCCCCATGGATACTAAGGGTCAACTGTAATAAATAGTTAATAATAATAATAATAATAATAATAATAATAATAATAATAATAACAACAATAATAATAATAATATTTATACTCCGCCCCTCTGTCAAATAATTGGGGCGGCTTACAACAGTTAAAAATTACACGAAAAATACAGATTAAGAAACAGCCCAGAAACCCCCCCTCCCCCAGCTTACAAAATTATTAAACTACACATCCATTAAAATCATAGCATAAAATAACAAGATAAAATAAAGTCATTGAAGCAATAATAAACAAATGAGAGCAGAGGGCGAGCCAAAAAATAAAAAGAGGCAGGGCTCCTGAGGCTGGGATCTAACCAGGAAAGGCCTGCCGAAAGAGATCTGTCTTCACAGCTTTTTTAAAGCTGCTTAAGGTTATGATCTGACAGATCTCATCCAGCAGACTATTACATAATCTGGGGGCGATTACTGAAAATGCCCTCAGGGAGGTAGCAGACAGCCTTGATTTTACTGGCTGAAGCAAATTTCTCCCAGAGGACCGGAGTGTGTGGGGAGGATTGTATGGGAGGAGGCAGTCCCAAAGATCAGTTGGACCCAAGCCATTTAGGGCTTTAAAGGTCATAACCAACACCGTATACTGGGCCCGGAAACTAATAGGCAGGCAGTGGAGGGACTTTAATACCGGGGTTATGTGGTCCCTCCTAGATATTCCCAAAACCACTCTGGCTGCCATATTTTGTACTAATTGAAGTTTCCGGACCAAGCACGAGGGTAACCTCATGTAGAGTACATTACAGAAATCTAGACGAGAGGTTACCAGCACGTGCACCACAGTTTCAAGGTCCCTAACTTCCAGGAAAGGTGCAGCTGGCGTATCAGCTGAAGCTGATAACAGCCATTCCTGACCATCACATTTACCTGATTAGACATCAGGAGCGACAAATCAAGGAGCACCCCCAGACTGCACACACAGTCCTTGACAGAGAGTGTGACCCCATCCAGGACTGGAGATTGCAACCCAATTCCTGGTTTTGGGGCCGCTACTGTTTCACTCTCAATCTGTTTTTCCTCATCCAGCCCATTACTGCCTTAAGACAGTCATTCAGAGGCGAGATGCCATCGGGAGTCAAGGCAAACAATCAAGACATGGAGAAATAGATCTGGGTGTCATCAGCATACTGATAACACCCAGCTCCATGACTCTGAATGATCTCACCCAGCAGCTTCATATAGATGTTTAACAGCAGCAGGGACAGAACGGTGCCTTAGGGGACACCGCAAGTAAGCTCCTTTTTACCGGAGCAACTGTCCCCAAGCAGCACCCTCTGGGATCTGCCCACGAAGAAGGAATGGAACTACTGGAGTGCAGTGCCTCCAATTCCTAACCCACTCAGGCAGTCCAAGAGAATGCTATGATCTATTGTATCAAAAGCTGATGAGAGGTCTAGAAGCACCAACAGGGTCACACTACCCTGTCGATGCTCAGATGCAGATCATCAACCAAGGCAACCATGGCAGTCTGAACTCCAAATCCCAGTTCCTAATCTTTCTTATTCAGTTATTCAGAGATATCTCCTTGATCAATATTGTTAGTTTACCATTTCAGCAAGTTCAATTATCTTCATCAACCAGCCTTCTTGTATTTGGATAACAGTGTCCTTCCAAATTTGGGGATACACTATTCTTGCTGCTCTAATCATATAATGTGAAATCCTTTCTTATTTCTTCTCAATTTGTTCATTTGGCATTCTGACTTGATTTCAGCTGTATTTTAACATTTAAAAATATCTCCCAATACCAAGTGTATTTGACTCCAATATTTCTGTGCATTATCACAAGTCCATGTGCCAAAAGGTCCCTATCTTCTCTTTATATTTCCAACATATATCTGAACTATTTTTAATCATTTTCCATAGCCTGTCTGGTATTAAATACCCTCTGTACATCATCTTACAGAAGTTCTTCCTCAAATAATAACTCAAAGTAAAATTCAACCACATCCCATTGTTCCATTTGAATTGGAGAATCAATATTTTAAATGTTGGAGGGTATGAAATCTTTAAGTATTTAATTTAACTTTTACAATGGAAGAATGTTTACAATGGATTTGAATAATCCAGTCCTATTAAAAGTGATCAGTATCCTTTCTACAAGAAGAAAAAAAATAATGATCTTGTCTTCTAGCGTTCCTCCTAAATCAAGTGGGGGATACGGAGAATAAAAATAATGATAAAAATGATTGTATGTGAAAGTTAACAGCCTTTGAAACAATAACTACTGTTACTATACTTAGACCAGACCCATTCAGTATTGGTAGCCAGAATCCTATTGGTTAGTTTTGAATGAGTAACATAGTGTTACACACGCTTGAATATTTTTTATTCATGATTCCTGTGTAGCCCCTACTTTAGAAGCAATGTAAGAACCATGAAAATCTTCCAATATCCACTTACTACCAGCA